TACTTATGTGTGTATGTGTCAAGTAATATTACTGAAGTTGCAAGTAAGGTTATGTGTTTGGGCAGTGTATGTTTTTTCCTTATCTGTAGGAAGCAGATGTTCTCTGTTACTGTCAGTCTGTCATTGGTACTGAAGATTGTGTTACCTTAATCTTAATTTCCCAGATCTTAGTATTACTTCATGCTGGATGGGGACGCATAAACGTTAACTAACTTTATCGCATTTCTTTTGTAAATAAGTAGGAATAATGTTTTCTTTGTGGTGTATCACTATAGTAGCTTCATTATAATTATTATTGATAATATAAACCAAGCTGCTGTATTATCAGAGGGAAATGCCAGAGAGGGTAAACAGTTCGATACCCTCACTTTAAAATGTCAGCACCCAAAACACTTGGCCAATGATGGGCAGAAGTTGATTTCTTTCAGCTCCATCCAGTAGAAAAAAAATCCTTTGGTATCAGGAGTTTGGTTTCGTTGTTTGTTTCTAGCATCAATCTCCACCCTGGTATTTTTGTACAATTTACTTTTTGTGAAGAGAGTGTTTCCCTGGCCTACTTTTTCCAGTGTCAGTCATGATGTATGACATCCTAACACTGCCCAACCGCAGCAGATCAGCCATCACAAACAGGCTGCTTAGTACAAAGAAGCTGAGAGGAGGAGTGTGCGGTACACAGTCCTGTGCTTGCACCGATGCATTCAGTGCCCTTCGGACAAAAAAAAGCTGAGGGATTTTGCACTCATTCTTCCTGAGCACCTGTAGTAGAACTGTTCACATAGTTTTGGTAATCTGATCTCTGGCTGCATCTTCAAAAGTAAGAATTAAATGAGTATTAAGATAGTTATGTGTAGAGAAAGGGTTTTTTTTACTGACTTTTCCTTTTGTGAGGGTTTTTGCATAACCAGATCATAATGCATACTCTTCGTTATTTTTTTTCTTTCGGAAAGCAATGAAATAAAACTCTGTAGGACTAAAGTATCGTTGTTCTGTTCTTATCTAACCCATCACATATTGCTATCCTAATATTGTTCCTAACCTATTTGGGGCCCAATCCTTCTCCTATAAAAGCTAGCGGGAAAAACTCCCAAATGCCAACCCCAGCATTTTACTACTTTTTTTTTTGTGTCAGTTTATGATGATACGGTAATTTAATCTCTTCTGTATCTGTCAGATACTTGATTTTTGATGATACAAAATACTGAATGCTAATTAAATAATTCACTCACCAATGAAGACAGTATCAAGCTCAGCATAAATCAGTCACCAGAGAGTAATACGGATTTTTGGGCTTCATCTGCAATTTCTTTAAAAGTTTCAGAGAGAAAGGAATTTCTTTCTGTACCACAAAGTCAATAGCGATGTGGGTCTGTGTACACTAGTACAGGTTTGTGATTGGTGTAGGCAGCTTTTCAAGATTGTTCCATGTTTTGTGATATTTTGGCATTTATGATGTTTGTGATTATGAATTTCTCCTTAATCTATATTTTGATGGTCTTATTTCAAATTGCTGAAGTATGCAGGGAATTTCTAATGCAGCAACTGGCTTTCATTGGCAGCATATTTTTTTGTGTATTTTATACAAGTGCTTACAAAGCTTAGATGTTACAGCTGATTTTACAAATGCTCTGCTTACTTGAAGTCTAATGAAGGGATATGGGGTTTGGTTAATACTAATGCATCAATATAGTAATGATCCCTTAAATAGTTTTAAAATACTTTCTTTCAGAAAATACTGATAGCCTGGCAGGGCAGTAATGTACGCATATGTAGATTGCATGTAGTTGAACAGTTATTTTTACCTCATTTTCCCTTTGTGATAACTTTGTTATATATATTTTGAAAAAAGTTATAGACAAAACAATTACAATTCAATAAGTACAGCCAGTGATCTAACTTTAACAAAGTACTACCTATTCTTGTTTTTTTACCATCGTATGTTTGTATAATATACTGCCAGTATTTTCTGCAGAATCAGCTCCTCTCTTTTCCCTTCCTTCTCCCCAAGTTTTATCTTAGGTAGCAGCAATACTTGAGATTTTACTCAGTGAAGCGTGGCATTGAGAGCGTGTCTGATGCATCCACAGTGTGTTGGAAGCGGCACTGAAGCGGCATCGTGGTTATTGCCACTATATGTGACAATAATTGTTGAAAGGTGCCCCTTTAAAAGGGGTGAGAGAGTAAGACCCATTGCTTGGATCTAACATCCAGAATCCCATTTGTTCTGGTGCTATGAAGTTTTTAAAGATGCTTCCATTCAGTTTTGGAGCTGCTGTGAATCTGTCAGTGCACAGGCAAGCATAGACAGTTGGTCCTTTAAGCTTTGCTAGCTGCCTTACTGAGTGTCTGACCATTTAGGATATTGAGACAGTCTCTCCAGAGAAAGGCAGAGACATTACAAAGAGAGAAGTGAGTTTCTTCTTCACAGGACATAGAATGTCACTCTGTGAACAAGAAGTTGGTGCGTGCCTCTCTCCTCCCTGTAGCTCCGGAGGGTTGTACGGATCTGTTCCAAAAGGGTCAATCAAATCCTGGAGCCCTTTTTCCATGCCTGATCCTGTTCCATCAGCTCAGGTATATGAGTACTTTGTAGATGGTGAGAGAATACAAGCATTGCCTTCTTGTTTGCACCTCTATGGGGAGGGTTAGCCTTCGTGTCATTCTGCTAAAAATGTTTGTCCATCACTTTGGCAGAGTGAATATCTGTCCTTGTTGAGCACTGCAAAGCCCAGTGTTCATCATTGAGTGCGGTAACTCAAGTGAATCACTTTGCTTTAAGGGAGCACCTGAAGTGACATGAAACACAATTACTCGGATATGGTTAGATTCCAGTGATGGAGTAATTAATCTTCAAAAAGAGCACAGCAGAAAAGGGTCCTTGAAAGACTAGTTTGACCCCAGAGCTTTGTTCTTGAGTTTTACTTAGGCTTACTGCTACAGTTTCATACAGCCGGTGAAAGTCGATGGCTAATTTTGTTTGGCTTATGTAGGAGCAGATATTTTTTTTTGTATTTACTTTCCATTGAGTCTTTTAAACATGTTTTATAGTAGCAGATTTTAGTATGAGTCAGCCAACATGAAATGCTAAAGGGAAGATTTTAATAAGTATATTAATGTTTTGATCAGGAAGTATATTGAATTGAAAGATGTTAATTTACATTTAGAAATGAAAAATATCCTTCCTTCTGTTTATGGTTAAGCTGATTTTTTTGATCCTTTATTTGATTTTAATATTTAATGTTCTTAATTTCTTAAAGCCAAAGCCAACTGAAACAGTCACAACTGATGAGTCTGGGGTAAGATTAGTGAACTGACCCCAGTGGTTTTACCTCTACTTGAGTTTATTCTTTTTACCATGTCTATTTTCCACCAATTTTATCTGTATTTTTCATAACTGTCGTACTACAAAGGTGTTATGTAGTGGTTTGCATTCATTGTCTATGTACTATTGAAGTCTACTACAAACAAACCCAATATGATCCTTATTAACAAACCAGAAAACTTGGAAATGCATGTGATGTGTGAAGCATTTCTACAGGTCCTGTGTTTTTAGCATGTAATTTTTCCTTTCATATCATGCTTATCAAGGTGAAAAGGCCCTCAAGATACATTTTCAAATCTTACCTCTTCCACCTTTGCATTTAATGTTGTTTTTCTGGAAGTGTTGCATGTTTGGGTTTGTATTTGGTTTGACTTCTCCATGATGCTCTTCAGAACTCTGAAGACAGCGCTAGAATCTCCATCACTTTTTTCCGTCTCTTCCGGGTGATGAGGTTGGTGAAGCTGCTTAGCAGAGGAGAAGGAATCAGAACTTTACTGTGGACGTTTATCAAGTCATTTCAGGTTAGTAAAATTTATTTAAATTTGCTTTACAATTAGACCATTTATACACCAAATCTTATGAAGCAATGCTCTGTAGAGTGCAAAAACCATTTCTTTTGAAATTCACAGTACCAATAATGACATATTTAAATCTATTTGCGTACTAATGCCAAAATAAAATTCGCCAGTTACTTCATTGAGTCCAAGGGTCATTCTTTGTCTTTTAATATTAGCTGTTACCATGAGATTTCTACAGTACTTCATAAAAAAATATTTGTTGTACCTAAAAGGGATAGGGCAGGTTTGACACACACAGGTCTCATAGTTCCACACATTTTATTAGATGACTACAAAAGAGGAATTTAATCTATTTTTTTATACAAAACTGATTTCCTAAGTGTAACAGATATTTGAATCCTTGCTCCTGAAAACTCTGATGAACTTGAAGTTAATGGAACTCTGTAACTGTATAGAAGGAAAGTATCTTTGTGTTATCAGAACCAGTAACGAAAACAAAATCAAAAACTGCTAAAGATGATTCTTCCTTCTGGATTGCTGACAGAAATAATCTAAAATATAATGCAGCTTGTGTTCATTGTATGTGGCAGAATATTAAGAGTGACAGGTAATAACATTTGAAGCACTTGCATAGGAAGAAAAAACTTGGAAAGGCCTGTGTTGTACAGAGAAATTATTTTTGTGAATTGAAATTGAAATTACGGTGTCAGATTATTAATGAGAATGCACCTGTCCCATTTCTAGGCTCTGCCTTACGTTGCTCTTCTGATAGCCATGCTGTTCTTCATCTATGCTGTCATTGGAATGCAGGTAAACATGGAATGTTTTTAACATTAAACAAAAGTACAGTGTTGGCCGCTCTGAGACTTGTTTACTAAGGTGCTTGTTGAAGCGTTCCTCTGATAGTGGTGCTATATATAAGGCAGAGCTTTCAGAGTAATGTAAAAATCTTTTTTTAGCTATGATTTTGATAGTCAGAAAATGGAAAAAAAAGGCAAGAGAAGAGCTTGCTGTGAGCTTATAGTATCTTGGTTTGCTGAAAGGAGCCACTCCTCTTCCGTGAGCTGTGAAGTTTATTCCTATGCATGAGTGTATGAAATGCATGGCTTTTTTTTTACTATAGACTTGTTTTGTTAATAGGGCATTAGAACTCCAGTTTGGTTTTGTTTGTTTTTTAAATCTTTCCCATATGAAAAGAGAGAACTAGGAATAGAATCTAGCTTAAGATGTAGGCACAGCTGAGCCTGTGCTTAATCAAGAGTAGGATATATGTACAAGACGTACAAGCACAGAAAGGATTTTGGTAACTTAAACTGTAAAAATGTGCTGTTGGGATGAAGGTGCCACTCCTCACACCAGCAGCAGTGAGGGCAGAACAGGTTCTCCAGACTTAGTAACTGGAGACAGCTGGATAGGAGAAACCTGTCAGGAAACTGTTCCTAAAATTCATGCTGCTGGGCCATTTGGAGTGTGAGGATGGGATTAGTTGTTCAAGAGGGGACTGCACGGACTGTGGGAAAGCAGCAGACAAAGGCACTGAGCGTGGAGCTGTGATAGGGAGCGCGCTTGAGTTGCACGGTAGTCTCTGTGCCACACCGGAGATCTAGCGCTTGCCGAAGGAGGTGCCTGAGGAGCATGGCTGGGTGACCATCGACACTTTGGTAGAAGTTCCTGTTAGGTATCCTCAATCTGAGCTGCAGTTCTCTCTCTCTCCCCCCCCCCCCCCCCCCCCCTCTCTTTTTTTTTGGCTTTTTCCTTCTTCTCCCCTGTCGTAAGGCCTTAGGGTAGCTCTGCATTCCGTAAAACTTTGCAGATGTTTTCTTTTGTTTTCAAAGTTGTAAGGATCTTCAAATCAACACAAAGAGAGGTCCTAATTAAATGGGATGAATAGAAGAAATATGCTATGGAGAATAATTTTGCTTCTGGGTAGTTTCTCTTCATTATTTATCCACAAACAACTTAATGACCTAACCGTTCAGCAGCATGCATACACAGCATAATGGTGTCAGTTGCTCTAAATTAACTAACAGCCTTCACTGTATTGCAAGAGGATATGAATGTGTTGTATTGGGTAAAAGGAATGGTCTTTTGGCCAAAGAATTGCAATTTCATTTTGAGGAACAGAACTATTTTCTATCTCTGGCTGAGACAGGGTGCTCAGATGCTCTGTGCTGTGGTTTCTGTCTTTGCATCTCTCTCTCTCTCTCTCTCTCTCTCTCTCTCTCTCTCTCTCTCTCTCAGGTTTTCAGGACAGCAATTATTTCTTACTACAAGTATGTAAAATATTTAGTGCAGTAGGGCTTTAATATCAATAAAAGACTCTAGGTGCTAGTTTAAAACAAATAGTATTTTATCACCTGAAATACAGGAATATGTATTAATATTGTAATTGTTTATTGATGCTAAATTAAATTATTAAGAATTATATTTTGATATGATAAATTTACTGCAGCTACAACTTTATCAGGAAGAACTGAAGAGGGTAAAGAAAGTGTATTTGTGAAAGTATTTTTCATACATACTGAAGCAAGTTTAGACTGCAAGGCCTACAGCTTCTGACAGTGCAGGTCACTAGGATGAAAGTCAAAATACTGTTTTATTGTAGGTATTTGGAAAAGTGGCCATGAGGGACAATAATCAAATAAACAGAAACAACAATTTTCAGACTTTCCCCCAAGCTGTGCTGCTTCTCTTCAGGTGAGTAAACCTTAACTCTTACTTAATGCATCCCATTTAATTGATCTGTGAAAAATGTTTGTAGCTCTTGTACAATGGACTTGTTCAAAATGTGTTTGCAAGTGAGAAGCAATTTAGCATAACAAGCGCATCCTCTCTGTGGCTGTATGCTGAGTGTCCGTCAGCACAGCAGGATTCTAACTGAGGTGAATACAGACCCAAACTCATTACAGCTATTGTCAAAGAACTCTCTTATGGAGTAATTGTCTTCAGGTAGACCCCAAACATAGGCATCCCTGACATCACTGTGTAGGTGTTGGGAAAGGTGAAAGAGACTGCCCTGACTGTATTCTTTAGAAACACAGCTAGCGTGACAGTTTGAAAAAATGAAAGTTTGTTGCAAACATAAAGAAAGAAACTCTTTTTTACATTTGCTGAAGAGATGACAAGAAATAGAGGGTGTGACTCACAGAAGGGAAATACCAGATAAGCAGTAGGCAAACCTTCCTGATGGCAAAGGAAGCTAAATCTTGATGCAGGGGGATTATGGAATCTGCATCACTAGAGAGCTTAAGAAGAGGGTAAACATTTGCCAGGAGTGCTTCAAAATGTCCTGGAGCAAGGAGAGGGAATGACATGGGATAGGGATGCCTCTAAAGGTGACAGCCACCAGAGCTCTTGCCTGTGATTCTCTATCTCCACTTGGCTCCTCTGCATTGTTACTAACCTGGTTGGCAAAACTGGCAGGTCGCTCCTTATCTGACACCAAGGGCATCACCCAGTGAGATCCAAGTCACTTTATGCATGTCAAGACTTTTGCCTTTGAAACTAGGTAATGAACACAGCCAGAAATGTCATAAATACATAGTTGTCTTTTAAATATTTGAAATTATGGGTCTGTATGCAGACGTTACCCAACTACACAAAAAGTGCAATAGCAGAAGTTACAGACAAGCATTTCTTCAGCCATGCTGAGGAAAAGGCAATTCGTCTTTTACAAACAGACACTTTCAACTTTTATGACAGATTTTGTACACAGCACTGCTTTTGTACACAGCAGCTCCACTGCAATAAGTATTTAACTTTGTAAATCACAGGTTGGTGTTCAAATATTTACATGAAAGCCTTTATGGTGCATTAGTCTACCTTACAAAATGTGTCTGCAATGTCAGATCTATGGCTGTCATTTCTGAAACATGCTCTGTATTTTTGTAATGAGTTCCTGCTCTGAAAAGTTCACAATCTGTCTTCAATTGTGCTTGTACAGCTCCAAGCATTTTGTCAGAATTTAACAAATTAATACATCTTTAATCCATGTTGATGAAATAATGCTTAATTTATTTTTGTGACCTTATAAAGGTGTGCAACTGGAGAAGCCTGGCAGGAAATCATGCTGGCATGTTTGCCTGGGAAACGCTGTGATCCAGAATCTGATTATAATCCAGGGGAAGAATACACATGTGGAAGCAATTTTGCCATCATTTATTTTATCAGTTTTTACATGCTTTGTGCATTTTTGGTGAGTCTGGCTTGTGCTTATTAACAGACATGAGCTTTGGCATTTTGACTTTCTTCTGAACTAAGAGAGTAGTGGGTTCAGAGAACGATTGAAAATGCCATATCTTTTTGCAAGGTTATATTTTTCCATACATAGTCCTAAATCCTATGTCTTATACTGATTTTTATGGTGAGGGTGGTGAAACACTGGCACAGGTTGCCCAGAGAGGTGGTAGATGCCCTGTCCCTGGCAACATTTAAGGTCAGGTTGGACTGGGCTCTGAGCAACCTGATCCAGTTGTAGATGTCCCTGCTGTCTGCAGGGGGGTTGGACTGGGTGACCTTTAAAGGCCCCTTCCAACCCAAACCGTTCTATGATTCTAAATTTCCATGTGCAAGATGTTCTGACTACACGTTTGCAGGAGTGGTTGTTGCACATCTGAAAGCTAAGTTAACAGTCTTTTCATCAGCTAGTATTTCATGCGTTTCTCAATAATATCATTAAATATGCATTAATAATAAAGCTGAAATTCCTTTGACTTACTAGTAATGCTATTTGTATTATTTAAATTTAGCAGAATCTGGATTTGTGTCTCTGTAAGTGTGCTCAAACTGTGGCACATGAGATGTGAACACTCACCTTTCTCCCTAATCCAGGGCATAAGGGATTATTTGCTTTAAAATAATCTTTGAAATATGTTTTTCCTCACTGCAGGTGTCTGGTCTAAGGTGGTTGATTTGTTCTATTTGCAGTAGTGTTCTCCTTGCAAAAGGAGAGTGGTCGAACAGAATTCTGTGAACCAATGTAACCATACATGTTCTGCTGCTCTGTATCATCTTGTGTGTTACAACATATGCAGGTGTCTTCTTGTCATGACATTGAATCCTATTAATACAGAAACTATTTCCTGAGATCGACACTGTATCAAATACTGGATCCATTCTTTAATTTCATGTAGTGGGATCTGGCAAATCAAGGAAGAGGAACAAAACAATGTTACAGCCTATGTCAGAGACTGAGTACTCTAAGATAGAATCACACTCTTGTCATACCATTTCTTGATAGAGTTCCAGTTACTCAGATACATGGTTAGCAAGTATTTTCTGTGATATTTGATGATATTTGCCAAAAATAATTGGCTTCAATTTATTTGTTTGAATTCTTAACCTGCTACCTTATAAACAATTTTATTTATTGAATGTTTTTAAAATTTTCAAAGGAATTAAGGCAGATTGTTTTTTAATTACTTTTTTAGATTATAAACTTGTTTGTGGCTGTCATAATGGATAATTTTGATTATTTGACACGCGACTGGTCTATTCTGGGTCCCCATCATTTGGATGAGTTCAAAAGGATATGGTCAGAATATGACCCTGAAGCAAAGTAAGTTAGATCATTTCTCTGATCAGATGCAGCTGGTAAAAACAATAAAAGCAGAGCACAATATGTTTTTTGGGAATGGATGTATGGTTAATAACTGATATGTGTTGGTTCTAGGGGAAGGATAAAGCATCTTGATGTGGTTACATTACTGAGACGCATTCAGCCACCGCTTGGTTTTGGCAAATTATGCCCTCACCGAGTGGCCTGCAAGGTAGGTTTTTACCCTATTTTCTTTCTAGGTTTCTCTCACAGTTCATTCTTTCAGTTCTGCCCAATATGTGTCACGCAGGCACAGTAATCCTGTCTGTTCACAAGGTGTCCTTCACTCTCGAGTTTTCCTGGATTTTTTTGCAGGCTTAACTTAAACCAGCAAAATTAGTTTCATTTCTTTCAGTGTACCAATTTGAGTAGTTACCACCAATATAATGTTCTTCGGAGTGTGTCAAAATGAAAGGGGTCAGTCTGTAAATCTATCGTTGTTCTATTTTTTTCACATATATGAACTACCTCATCCCAGTATTTTTAGTGACCCAATGTCACATGTAAGACTACTTCAACACAGTGACATTTCTGATTTCTCTTCAGTCCCAGGGTGGTGGTTTTCTTCAACTGACAATCAAGTTTTGATACAGTACTTTTACAGTTGCATTCATGAGAATTTTGCTGCACATGAATCAGAAAAGAGGTTCAAGGGTGGGGATGCAAGATTATAAACCAAGTTGAAGTGAATAATGATGTGCAATAGAATACATAGCAGTGAGTGAAAAGACTGAAAATCAAAGGGAGTTTAAAATGATGTAGAATGTGTCAGGCATGATGTGTAATTTAGATGAGGATTAACTGCATTTTAATGTAAAAGCTGAAAAGCAATACAAAGGAGATGAATAATTATTACATTATTTGAGGACTTCAGAACTATGGTATTGTGGTTTTAGCACTTTGGTCACAACAATCCCATGCAATGCTATAGGCTTGGG